CCCCGCCATGCTATTCATTGTTTCTTGGGTATACGCTACACAGTCACTTGGCTGTCCGTGTTTATCTTCACATGACAGTACCAGGGTCAGGCTGTGTGTGCCAGGCCAGTTCCTGACCGCCAGGGGCTGCTTTTCTCTTTCTCGGCCCCAATTTTATGAGCATTGTGTTAGATACCAGGTGATTCTTGCAAGAACTTGGAGTTTAGAGCTGTGGACAAGGGTGAGTAAAATGGTATATAAGCAGTCTAAATTTAGGTGTATGCACAGAGTGTGGAGTCGGAGAGTCAGGGCACTGGCCCAACTCAGAGTAAGCAGCCAGCCAGTGGAGGCTTCCAGAAAAAGATAACGTTAGAGCCACGTCCAGAAGACGAGTAGAAACTGTCTGGGCATATCTGTGGAGGATGGGCTTTCTAAACTCAGGGGGATATGGGTGCGGAGGCCTAGCAAAAAGAAAGTGTGGGGCGGTCAGATTAGTAGATTAGTCTGCCTGGACCTGGGAGTGGGGAAGCAGGTTTGGGTAGAGGGTGGGAGGGATGGGTCTGGAAGGGGAGACAGAGGTGGGGCTGCAATGGTCAGATGTGGCCAGACTGTGAAGGATCTACCTGTCTTCACCATCATAATCCAGGAATGCGTGTATGAGTTCTCACTGCTCTGCATAGAGCAGAGTTTTCCATAGGAATCGTAGAATTGAATAGTGAATATTTACAATGGCGTTTAAAGGCTTCAGGGGCTTCAATTCCTTGAATGACTCGTGAGTAATAAAACCACCATCTTTTGTTCTCCCGGCATGAATTTATGGGGAACTAACAGAAGGATTTTAAAAAGAAGTTATTTTAGATCCCTCTTGCTTCGCTGTGGCAGTTTGGTTGAGGTAGGGGAAGACTGGAGACAGGAGACTTAAGTTGGGGGACTATCACATTGATCCAGGTGAGAGATGGTGCAGTAGGAATTTTTAGGACAAGTGCCTAGATTATAACAGTTTTCTCTTTTCTGAAAACAGTGCCAATACTATGTGACCTTGTAACCCCCTCCCAACCCTGTGACCATAGTTAATTGGTTCTGGTTGGCACTTGATCCAAGCTGGGACTTTTGAATCTGGGAACAAACCACCATCTGCTTTGTCTGATTTGAGAACCTGATTTGGGCCTAGATAGCTCTTGGCAGCCATTTTTCCACTTGTGTAGAAAAAGTTGGTCTATAATAGAGAATGAGAATTCTCCTGGCATTTGAGGTCCAGGGACACCCACCTTTCCCACAGTGTGCTTATGGGAAATAAATCAGTGTCCTTAAAATAAATCTCCTGTTTGGCTGAAGCTGGGTTAAATTTGTCTCTTGTACCCTCAGGAGTCTTGATTAGCATATATGGTGAAGGCCCTGAACTAGGGCACTGAGAGTGGGGTTGGCCGATCTCAGATGTTGGGAAGTACATTAGACTGAAAATGGTAACTGTTGCACACTGAAGAGAGCAGTCAGTGCTTTGAAAGGGTGGATGTGAGGATAGTGTTCAAAATGGAGGGAGTAAGTTGAGCAAAAGGGAGGGGTGTGTGGAGCAGGACGCAGGTGGGGGCAACTCTGAGTGCTTCAGCTTGGCTGGGCTGTGGGGTTGAGTGGGGTTTTAGCCTCGATCCTAGAAGATGTGAGAACAAATGGAGGCGTTGGATATTGGCGATGACTTCAAAAAATTTCTCTCACTGGTTTGCAGTGGTAAAATATCATATTCTAGGGGATGTAATGTACGGCCTCGGGAGTACAGTCAGTAGAGTCAATAGTATTGTAATAGCTTTGTGTAGTGACAGATGGAGATAACAACGTACACTTGAAACTAATAGGGTATTGTATGTCAATTATACTTCCTGGAGAGGGGATAAGCATTAGGAAATAAAGTTTCTAAAGAAAATAAAATTTACATTAATGCCATCACCATTTGATCTGTTTCATTTCAGTACTTTAAAATGTATATATTTAAAATAGTTGAGATGTTGTATAGTTTTTTTGGTTTTTTGTTGTAGTTTTTTTTCTGCCACTAAATATATCACGAACATTTTTTTTCGTTAGTATATTTTTTTGGAAACATGTCGACGACTCTATCTGATTCCACTGTGTGACCATATCATAATTTATGTAATCTCCCATATCTGAGTTTTTGTTCTTATGAATAAAATTGTGTTGTATTTAAAATCTTTGTCCATGTTTTTTGTGTTTTTAGAATTGATTCTGAGGAATGAAGTTACTTAACTTTGAGGATTTTTAAAAAAATAAGGTATTATTGAGGTACAATTTACACCAATATTATTTACCTTTTTAGTGTCCAGTTTTGAATTTTGACACATGCATATAATCATGTGACTACCACCACAATCAGAATATAGAATAGTCCAAGAACTCTCCAAATGCTCTTGTACCCCAATGTAGTCACCTCATTCTCCCCCCTTAGACTCTGACAACCTCTGTTCTATTTTCTGTCCATATAGTTTTCCTTTTTCAGAATGTCATATAAATGGAATCATATAGTGGAATAGTTTGTCTTCTGGTCCCCAAAGATAGACTTCCATCCCACATGCAAAACACATCAACCTATCCCAAGGGCCCCCAAAGTCTCAGTTCACCTTTAACTCAGAGTCCCAAAACTCATTTGAATTTCAGCTCTCAGGTTCTAAATCTCATCATAGAAATCAGGTATGAGTAAAGCTCGGGGTAGAGCCATCCTGGGGCATGATTCCTGTCGGTCTTTGAACGCGTGAAACTCGAGAAGTCAGGAGCTATAAAGTACGATGAGGGGACAAGTGTGGAATACCAGTAATTGACATTGTTCAAGGCGGGGGGGGGGGGGGGGGGGGGGGGGGGGGGGGAATGGAAGGAAAAAAGACATCACTAGTCCCAGGTAATGGTATTCTCTTAGAGAAAAAGTTTGTAATTTCGGTGAACTGATTTAATGATTTTCTTTTTTTGAGAACTATGCTTTTAGTGTTATATCAAAGAAATCTTTGTTTAATCCAGAATAGTCTATATTATCTTCTAGAAGTTTTGTGTTTTTTAGATATTTAGGTCAATTTTAGTATATGCATTTTGTGTAAGGTATGGGTTGAGATTTGTTTATTTGTATTTGGATGTCCAACTGGATACAACATCGTGCCTACTTTTTTTGCATTTACATTCTAGTAATGGTAGATGGACAATAAACACACAATATGTCGTATTTCCAATGGTGGTAAGGGCCGCTGAGAAATAAAGGAGGGCAAGGAGGTGGGACTGTGGGGACCCCTGTGGAGTATGTGTGAGGTTGTTACTATTTCACATCACATGGCCAGATTAGACTTTCCTAACAAGGTGATTGAAGGAAGTGAGGGAGGGAGCCATGTGCATTTCGGTGGAAGAGATTTAGGCAGACAGAATCCCTGGGGTGGCACAGCGCTTGACCTCTTCAGGCAATGAAATGGATAAGGGAGAGTGGTGGGAGATGAGGTCACTCAGAGTCATCGAGACCAAAGTAACACCCGTGATTTGAGTTCCTGGCGAAGCCATTGGAAGGCTTTGAGCAAAGAAGGATGTAATCTGACTCAGTGCTCTGCCAGGTGTGGTTCTTCAGTCAGCAGCAGTGGCTGCCGGGACCTTGTTAAAGATACAGACTCAGGGGCTGCACCCACAGCTACCAAGTCAGACTCTGGGGACGAAGCCCAGGCATCTGTGTTTTACAGACTGTCTAGGTGATGCCGATGCATGTTATGCATTAAGAAGCTCTGGTCAGACTTATGTTTTCAGACGATCGCTGTGGTTGCCTCGCGGAGGATCGATTGTGAGGAAGGCGAACGGAAGGAAGGAGAACAGTTAGGATCTAGATGAGAAGTCACAGTGGCTTGGACCAGGGTGGTTGTGATGGAGGTGGTGAGTAGTGGTTGGATGTGAAATATGTTTTATAGGTAGAGCCAAAAGGATTTGCTAATAGACTGAATGTGGAGCAGAGAGGGTGAGACAAGGCAGAGAGAATTCCGTGGAGGAACAGAGCTGGAGCTGCCAGTTCCTGAGGTGGAGGAGACGTGGAACACTTCCTTTTGTGTAGGGGAGGTGATGAGGACGGCCGGGGGGATGAGTGTGGAGTTCGGGACTCGGATGAGTTGAGCCCGAGTTGTGTGTGAGTCTTGGCAAGGGTGGGGTGGGCGTTTTGACAGCTGGGCTGTGGGGCCTTCGCTCCTGCAGGTGGAGGTCTACTTGTACAAATGTAAGGCGAAGAATGATAATATAGTTAGCAGTAAATTAGTTTTTTTTTTCCCCTCAGTCACATCTGTGCTTTCCCAATCAATATATGTGTTTTATCTAATCTGCTTTTGACAGGTTTTGCAATAAAGAGAACTACAACTTTTCGTGAAAATGTCAGTTCTGATATCACAGAGTGTAATAAATTATGTAGAAGAGGAAAACATTCCTGCCCTGAAAGCTCTTCTAGAAAAATGCAAAGATGTAGATGAGAGAAACGAGGTAAGACCAAGTTTCTGAAATTAAAATCCTTGAACAAACATTGGTTGACTACCGACTACTGTGTACAAGGCGTTGTGCCAAGGAAAAATGTAAGAAATAGGAAGTTCTTAACCTTGGTGAGATTGTTAAAAGTACTTGAAGCGCCAACTCCCTATTTCTTTCTCTCCCCAGCCCCTGGCAGCTACTCCTCTACTTCTGTTTCTAGGAACTTGACTGCTCTTTGTACCTCATAAAAGTGGAATCATACAGAATTTGTCTTTTTGTGACTGGTTTATTTCACTTAGCATAATATCCTCAAGGTGCAATCATGTTGTAGCGTGTGACAACATTTCTTTCCTTTTTAAAGCTGAGTAACATTCAGTTGTACGTATATACCACATTTTGTTTATGCATTTATGTATTGATGGACTTTTGGGATTTTTCTTCCTCCTGGCTATTGCCTAAATAGCGCTGCTATGAACATGAATATGCAAATATTATAAATGTTTTTAAAGCTGTTGAATCAACAGTTATTAGTTTATGACTATGATTATTTTTGACATAGGGTACCTAAATTTCATTAAATGTTAGCTCTCATAAGGAAATCTTAACAAAAAAATTTTGTTACTGCAATAACCTTGTGATAGTTAGTGTTTTTATTGAATCAGCTCATGCTGAGGGGCCCCTGGGTAGCTCATTTGATTAAGTGTCCGACTTTGGCTCAGGTCATGATCTTGAAGTTTGTGAGTTCGAGCCCCATGTTGGGTTCTGTGCTGACATCTCAGAGCCTGGAGCCTGTTTCAGATTTTGTGTCCCCCTCTCTCTCTGTCCTTCCCCTGCTTGTGCTGTCTCTCTCTCTCTCTCTCAAAAATAAATAAACATTGCAAAATAATAATAAATAAAAGAATAATGCTGATACTTATCTTGATTTACAGGTAAAGGACTTAATCCCTCAGTTTCCTATCCAAGATATTACCTGATAGAACCCAAATTTGAACTCTGTTCTATTTGATTTCAGATCATAATCTGTTTATGCTCTGTTGCCATTCTTTGAGTTTTCAGAATAAGTTCATCCAATGATGTACTGATACATTCAGTGTTTCTATATTGAACACAGTATGTTTTGGGTAGGTAACTCCTCTGTGATTGTGCATTGTCAATAATTGTTCTAAACAGATAAGAGAAAATTTATAATTGGAGATTGTTCACTGTTATGAAAGAATTACTTAGGGACACCTGGGTGGCTCAGTCGGTTAAGCGTCCAACTCTTGATTTTGGTTCAGGTCATGATCTTGCAGTTTGTGGGTTCGAGCCCCACGTTGGGCTCCACACTGAGTGTGCAGAGCCCTCTTGGGATCTCTCTCTCTGCCTCTCCCTCTGCCCCTCCCTCACTCTTGTCTCTCTCTCAAAATAAATAAATCAACTTAAAAATATATTTAAAAAATAAAAAGAATTACTTACAAAAGTGGTCATTTTAATTAGTATATATTAACATACTTGGAATAATAAAATGATTATAGTTTAAAAATAGTAAGTATTACTTCATAGACATTTTCTATGGGAATACTGAAAAAATAGCCTCACATGCAAGGACAAATATAGCACATCAATGAGCACAAAATTTTATTAATCTAATTCGTGTAAAGAATTAAGCATATTTGGTATAGAGCTTAAGTTGACATCATGCATGAGGTAGCATTTAACTGATATTAATAGTATTTATATCTAGTGTAGTATTGTATCCATTCAAATTTGAGTTTTAAAATAATGATTTGAAACAACCTGGATTGTTAAACTATGGCTCAGCGTGAGTGATGGAGACAAAGTAGCTTTCTCAAGTCCTTTTATTGTATTTTGCTTCTACAAGTGTTTATAAAATTTAAATTTTATAGAATTCTATAAAGTTGTGTGGATTTCCTCTCTTCTTTGTTGCCCCTAAAAGTATGTAATTACCTTATGTTAATGTGTTTTGGTTATCAGTTTTGAAAAGGTCTCAAATCAATAAAATACAGTTAAGCCACTGGCTCTTGATCTCAGTTCAGGTCTTGATCTCAAGGTCGTGAGTTCTAGCCTCATGTTGGGCTCCATACTGGGTTGTAGAACCTACTTTAAAAACAAAAAGCAAGAAGAACTTAGCCTGTGTGGGATGCCTGGGCGGCTCAGTCGGTTAAGCATCTGCCTCCTGATTTTGGCTCAGGTCATGATCTTGTGGTTTGTGAGTTCAAGCCCAGTGTTGGGCTCTGTGCTGATGGCGTGGAGCCTGCTTGGGATTCTGTCTGTCTGTCTCTCTCCTCTCCCTCACCCCCCCCCCCCAAATAAATAAACCTTAAAATAAAATAAAATAATGTGGGGGAAATTTCTGTATTTAGCATACAATTGGCTGCCATCAGTAAATGCTAATTTCCTGCCACCTTTTCTTTCTGCTTTATTTGTAAACTAGATAAATCTCAGCCTGTGAACATTCTCAGTGATGGCAGGTCTTCACCCTTTGTAAAGTAGTGATGGGCTTTTATTTTTAGAAAAGAACAGAAAGTTTCTCTGAGGTCTTCTTGGTATAAGATTTTAGTGCTGAGGTGGGACAGTATTCTCCAAGAAAATGAAGTGGGACTGTCAATTCAAGGAGTGGATTTTGTTATGTGCTTAGAAATAGGCTCTGAGGCAAATTTCAAAGAATTTAAAAATGTTTTAGTTTCATTACAATTATTGGAAGAAGTATATATTCTCCCAAGATGTGCTTTAAAGGGCACTGGTGATTGAGGTCTGGTACACCTAAATAAATTCAAGTAGGACTACCTAGGATTTGGGAACAACAAAAAGGGATCCTGAGTAGGAAGTGTTTTTGCACTGTAGTCTTCTGGGGAGCTGAGATAAAGTATGGTGACCTGTCGGGGGAACGTCCCTTGGTGCAGCGTTCTGTTCTAATGTGTTCCGGCTTGAGGTCATCGTAAGTGGAGTAAGGGTTATGTGAACAAGTGATCCCATGTAGTTTGGAAAGCAGTGGGCTTGGGGTTTGCTGGGATGCGTGGGATTAGGTATGGAAAGGGCCTTTAGTGATTCATTTAAAAATGGAAGGATAAAGTCACGGCTGTTTTAAGTTACTCTCTCTCCACAACTGTAGTTAGAAGATTGGTTAAGCAAGAACTAATAGAATAAACGAACGTTTTGTTATAAGGCCCAGCTTATAAGGTCACTTTTCTTCTATCTTTTAGAATGTAATAACTTCACGGCAACCTTTTTGGTAAATAATTTATCTTTTTGAGTGGTGTAGTTGTCAAAGGTGTATCAGTTAAGGATCGCTTTGGACTGCGTGCGACAGCTCCTACAACCATGTCTCCATCAACTTGAGGTCTTATTTTTCTCACGCGATGATAAGCCGGAGGAACCATGCCAAGGTTGATATGACGGCTTCAGGAGATCTTCCCAGGCTCCTTCTGCCCTTCTGTCCACTCCTCACTGTGTGCTGGTCACTGCGCGTTGGCCGTCACAACGCCGGCATTGTGTCTCGTGAGGCAAGAAGCCCAGAGACAGGCCGGCCGAGCTTGTCTGGTTCCCGGGCCGGCCTGGGCCACTTAGCCGGGGCAGTGTCCTGGGATCATTCCGGCTGCAAGCCAGGCTGAACTACGTGGGCATTTTGTTTTTGGTTTTGTTTTTAAGCTGAGCACGTTGCCACCCCTAACACAATCCCGTCACTCGATATTGGGAGACAACTAATAGTTTCTGCAAGAGAAACTAACGACTATTCAAGTCTTTCGTCTGGCGTGTTTCTAGTTAATCACATTTATATCATCTTTCGTGTTTGTGTTATAGGTATTTTTACACATCTACGTTATTTTTTCCCCTCATATGCTAGAAGCACCTGTCTCTGTGAACTATCTGACGTGACTGTGACTCCCAAAAGTAAACAAAAAACTTCTGAATCTCTGGAGTTACTAATCTGAAAATTCTGATGTAAAATTCATATATCCTTAGGGCCATAGATTCAGGGTTAATTGGCTTTAATTTATATATTGTACCAATGACTTTGTTGTCTCACTTTTTATCCTGGTTGATTAGAAGGGAGAAGGGTGCTGCAGAAAGTTGGTCAAAGAGGTTAGAGCTGACAGAGGCAAGCTGGGTGTGATGATTGATGTCTGTAGTTGTGACTCAGAATTGTAAACATGATGTGTAAAGGTAATCTGTTTAATAAGTAGTAAGTAATGTGTGCATTGCTTTATAAATTAATGGCTATGATACAATATATAATCAAATTTAATGTTTAAAGGATCAACTTTTTCACCTGGAAAATCTGTTTGTGGATAATACCTCATTCCCTAATGACTTTGGTTGAATGACATGTAATTTAGTATCCGTTGTTCTATAAGAATGTCTGTGTTTAATGCACTTTACGTGTGTGCTTTGTTTAAACCAATATTTGTGTTTAACTCTTATGTTCTTCTTATAATAGCATCTGTTGCATTTTTGCCAATTACTGTAATTATTCGCTTGTTTTTTAAAAAAATGAGAGAGAGAGAGAGAGAGAGAGAGAGAGAGAACAAGCAGGGG